GGGGGAGGGTAAAACCTGGATTTGGAGGGAAATGAATAAAAAAAAAAAATTTTTCTTATACGGAATCAAAAAAAGAAAAAAAAGGAAAGGAAAATAAGACGTTAAAGCAGGTGAAATCACACTCCGAAGTTCCTGAAATCTGTTCATCCTTCAGGTTTCAGGTGTCTTTTTCTTTAACCAAGTAGAAATTTGAACGGTTCAAAAAACACGAAACCTTCTCAAAAACATAATAAAAAACATAAAAAGTTCTTAAAATCCATCGAAACGCATTTCCGAAAAACATTTCAATTTTACATATGCATACACGTGAATATTTAAAAAGGTAGGAGGGGGGGGGAAAGGTTTAAAATTTAAATAAGTTAAAAAAAAAACCGCTCTGGAAAAATTTTTAAAATGATAATAATGATAACCAAACATAAAAACCTAAACATTTTTTTTGTTTTTATCATCATCTTAGACCACCACACACACACACACACACAAAAATTTTTTTTTTCTTTATCGACAATAATAAATTAAACATAAGTAAAAAAAAAAAAAATTCTCATATTCGTTTAAAAATGATAATAATGTCAAAGTTCAAACTCTTTTTTATCATCTTGTTTACGATTGACAATAATAATAATAATAATAATAATAATTCAACATGTTTTCTTTCGGGTTACATTTCCAAAAAAAATTTAATCGAATCACGTCGTTTTTTTTTTAATTTTTTATTTTATAAATTTTACTCATCACGTTTTTTTCTAATATATAAAATCATCTTTATTAAAATGATATGTACTGTAAAATAATCAATCATTTCATTCATTCATTCATTCATTCATTCGATCCGACATTTTTGAAAACCGATGAAACAAAGGAAAAAAATAAGAAAGAAAAGATGGAAAAAAAGTTTTTGTTTCATTGAGATGTGCGAATCTCTCTCTCTCTCTCTCTCTCTACGCAACATTATCATCATCATTATCATCATTGATATAATTTCATCATTCTACGCATTATTACAAGCATTAAATTACAGTATATATATATATAATAAATAGGGCCGCGCACACGCACACGCTCGCGCATTTCTGCGGACATTTTAAAATAAAAAACAAAAGAAGAAAAAAAATTTTTTTTTTTTTTTGCTTATCGAGTAGGAACTTTCTCTCTCTCTCTCTCTTTGACTTCTTCCTTGTTGTCAAAAAAAAAAAACCTGATTCCTTACGATTGTTTTCATTATTATTATTATATCAAACAATTAATTTATTTAATATGAGGATTGAATCGAATTCTTTTATTATAATTTGATACCTTTTTATTATTATTATTATCAAAACCTTTTCATAACCGTCTCGACGAATATGAAACAAAAAAAGGTTATTTTAGTCACTTCGACATTTTTTTCTATTGGAATTTTATTTCGTATTGTCAAATCGTATGATATTTTAATAATAATAATAATTTTTTTTTTTTATCAAAAATCAAATTTAAACTAAAAATAAACGAGAGAAATTATCATTATTATTATTATTATTATTATTATTATTATTATTATTATTATTATTTATTGATTTATTACGTAAAAATTTAAAGATAAAATAAATAAATAAATAAATATTATTACGTAATAATTTTTTAAATGAAAAAAAAAAAAAAAATTTCGTTATTGGTTTCGTTACTGGTTTATCGAATTAAAAAATAATTTTATGGGGGAGTGGGTGGGGGAGGTCTCGTCGGTTGATTTTTTAAGGGTAGTAAAAGTGATGAAATAATAATAATAATAATATTTTTAAAAAATGTTTTTTTTGTAAACATGTTGAGGTTATATATTACTCAATGTTTGAAATTCGGTGACATTTTTTTTTTAAATTATAAAAATTGCTATGTGTTTCCCTTTTTCTCAACCTTTTTTTTTGTTTTGTTTTGTTTAAGAAACATACAAACAAACAAACAAACGAAAAGTTTTTCAACATAATTTATTATTTAATTTTTTTTTTTTTTCTGTTCGATTTTTAATTCCTTCGATTCAATTTTTTTTGAGTGGAGTGTGAAAAAAAATTTTTTTGATTACATCAAATTCGTTAAAAATGAATGAAAAAGTTTTTTTTTTTTTTTTACATAATTAATTATCCTTGAAACTCAAGACAATGAATATTTAAAATTACGGGTAATTAAATTTTAATTTTTTTTTAAGTAACAACAAAAAAAAAATTTACATCGTCATGAATGGAAAAGAAGTGACCGTAAAAAAAGAAAAACAAAAAAATTTTTTTATCACATCTAAATGTATGAGTGGTAAAAAAAAATAATGATAATAATAATTATAATTGGAAGTAAAAATGGGTTGAAAGGATTCGGTCAGATGAGGGATTAAACAAGTAGAAAAAGAAAAAGGAGAAAAACATTTCGAAATAGTTAGAATTATTAAATGTTCCCATGTTGTCATTCAACATTATTAAATCTTTGTCGGTACGTATACGGAAGAATCATATATATATACAAAAGTGAAAAATTGCGTAAGAAAATAAATAAAAAGAAAAAAGAAAAAATCCAGGTGTGGTAAGTAAGCGCAAATAGGCAGGGAGGCAGGCAGGCAGGCTCATTGGCAAGGGGTAATAGTTACCCTGAATAATAATAATAAAACCCTTAAAAAGAGTCCGTAGAAAACGAACGAAGGTTACATAATATGTATGAATTGTATTGAAAATTCTCTCGCAAGATGTTTATGATTTTAAAAGAAAGAAGGAATGTTGTTGTTGTTGTTGTTGTTTAAGAAGAATGAGGGTTTCTTTGAGTCAGATTTTTGTGTTTTTTTGGACCCCACACTCGCCCCAGACATTTTCATATTTTTAAACAGATGTTATGCCGGCCCGTAGTTTGTTTGCCATTTTTTTTTTTTTTTTTTTTTACTTTTGTTCGTTTTGATTAATTGATAATAAATATAAATATTAAGTGTTATGATTAAATTAAATAATTTTAACTTACCTTATTTTGGATTTTACCCTGGAGTTTTGAGGTCCTTCTCTACTTCAGGTCTTTCTGTTACATCCTGGAAAAAGAAGAAGAAAAAAAAAATTAGCAAAATTTAAAAAAAAAAAAAGAAACAGTAAAAAGGGAAATGTTTTTAAAATGGCGATGGTTTTTCTGTTTTCTATTGTCATTATTAATAATATTCCAGCTGCAAAAAAAAAAAAAAAAAAAACCGCAGCTGAATTTTTAGTTTCTTTTTTTGGGAAGCGTGTGAAGCTGTTTCTCCTGAGATAGAAACGGAATGGGGCTTATGACAGCTGTGGACCAGCTTTCACTTTTGTTTTCTTCTATTTCAATTTTGTCGTGAAAATTATAACGACTCCATGTCAATAAATAAATAAATAAATTTTCCCGCGTTTAATAATACTTTAATAATAAATTTTTAAAGTCTTCGTGAAATAAAAAAAAAAAAACTTTTTAAGGTTCGTATTGGATGTGTACCACTTATAAAATACCTGAATATGTGAGAAATTCATAAGATAAACGTACAAGTTAAAGTTAAGGTATTTTCCCCCTTTTTTCAAAAAAAAAGTCAAAAATCTTTTAAATGACGTGTCGTTAGAAACAAAACAAAAATTGTATATAAAACACTTACTTATGATAATATTTAAAGTGTCAATAAATAAAAAGAAACAACGGAAATTTATATATATATTATTTTCTTAAGCGTTGATGGATGAAAAGAAAAACAAATTTTTTTTTTTTTTTTTTTGTTTCTCAAATTAATATATCAATTAACGATTAAACTAAAATCTCAATTAATGCATTTAAGTGACACAATAATGATGATCCTTGTCACTCTTTCATTTATTGACGACTATTGCAGCTGCTGCCATTTATGAGGGCCACTAACCGGTCGCAGCTTCTCATTCTCTTCTTATTATAATCATTGATTTATCTTAAATAATATGTATATATAGGGAACAACCACCATGAGAATTTCTTTCACAACTCTTTCTCTTGCCCACACCCTCTTTCTAGTATACTATTTTTTTTTTCTCACCGATTTTTCCATTTATGTAACAACGAGAGGGATGTTTCTGGTTTTGCGCAAACATTCACACTTAATTCACACACACACACATACACTCGTTACCAACCACATTTCCTTTGGTCATTTTTCCTTTGTTTTTTTAAAAATAAATTTTAAATTTTATAGTAAATTTTACGAATCGGATAATTGTCGGATCAATTATTAACTAATAATACTCGGGTTTTAGTAACTAAAGATAATAATAAAAATAAGAATGATTTTTAAAAAAAATTTTCCTATTTTTTACTTTCACTTTCACCCCCCCCCCCACTCGCCCAAAAAACAAAGAATACTTCATATCCAAATAAATAAAAAATAATTTACAATAGAAATCCGACGAATTTTCCCACGAAAGGAAAATTTTAGACTCCATCGACTAAAAAAATAACTTTTTGTGTAAAATGGCATACGTTGGCCGCATGCTAAGAAAAGGATGAAAGAGTCATCTAAGATTTAAAATGAAAATTTCGTGTGGAAAACTAACGCGGAACTCGAAACAAATGTAAAAATAATGAAAAGGGGTTGAAATATGCGGATAAAACTCTTTGCGGAATGGAACCGGTTTATGTAATTGGGGCGGAGCAAATGAAGCTCGAGCGTTTGTGAAAGTTAAAAGAAAGGGAATAGCGTTAATATAATATTATTTACATAGTTTTCTTATAATGTATAGTTTTTGAGACGTCGCAATACTAAATTGAACAGGTATTTTCAAGTCCGACGTTCATTCGAGTTAAACTTTCGATTCGAGATAGACGTGCGAGTTATTTGTGATTTATGATACTTGTTTCGATATTCATTAATAATTATCGATTTTTCCAATAATTAAATTTATATTTATAAAATTAATCTGTGAACGTTTTAAATATAACAATCAATTGTGTTTTTTTTTATTAAAAAAAAAAAAAATTTCGCGTTTTTTAAACGAGTAAATAATAATAAATTTTGTGTAATAATGAAAGCTGTTGTCGATGTTGGTGGTTCATCGGGAGGTAATAACCTCTCGGGAGTTCAAAACGGACGAATAAATAGAAGGAAAGATGTGGAAAATGAAGAAATACAAATGTATTTAAGTAAATTAAAAGATTTAGTGCCGTTTATGCCGAAAAACAAAAAATTAACAAAATTAGAAGTTATACAATATGTTATTGACTATATATGTGATTTGCAATACGCTTTAGAAACTCATCCCAGTGTTAATAATATAAATGCGGCAGAACTCACGGCGAGGTTACAAGGAGAAAATGGTACGACAGGAACGACAGTACCTCAAACCGTAGTGTCGGGATCACAGAGGCAACCTTTAGGGGTTTTGGCTTCTAGTCCGAACACCATAATACCTAATGTTAGATCAAATTCAACGTCGCCGATTCCAACAGAGCCTACATCTCATAGATCTGTAAGTTTCATTCGTTTGTTTGTTTGTTTGTTTTATCATTCGTGACGTTGTAAGTTGTTTGTCTAAGTTTTAATACATGTTAAAAAGGCAAAAACCAATGAAAGTTTTTATCATTCTTCAAAACGTAATTGCTCATTAAATGTTTCAAATTTTTTTTTTTTTTTAATAAATATCTTGCGACATAAATCGAGTAATATAATTGCTGATGTTGTTTTTGCGGCCATAATTACGCGGTTGGCTTCGAATCGTTATAAAAAAAAAAAAAGGAAAAATAAACTTTTAAGGTTTTTTTTTTTTTTTTTTTTGTTAAATTAAAGCTGAAATTACAATATTAAATATTTCATCCATTTGGGAAACACTCAAGGTTATCACGAACACCTGGACGGTGGTATGTCCTTCTTTTGCATTCGGCACCGTTGAGCAATCATTCTCGAAAAAAAAAAAAAAAAAAAAAGTTTTGATTTAATCCGGAACGACTCCCACAATTATACTTGGACACCTGGACGGAGAAGTCGACGAATAATCAAAAAGAGAAAGTTGTTAAAAAAATTTCAACCGCCATTATCATTGTTGGAAAACATGTAAATCTGCCACACTTTTAAATTGAATAAAAAAACGCAGGTGTCCTCCTCCAAAGTTCTCATCGCGTCCGTCACAAATCCTTTACTTTTCCTTTTCCTTTTTTTTAAGGGCTTATTCATGTAGGAACAACCAACCATAGGTCTGTGATTTCTTTCCCACGGAAGTTGCATTGAAAGGATTCTTAATGTTGGTGAAAAGGGTGTTGCACAACTGAGATTTTTTTTAGGGATGGGGGGAATTCGTTAGACACCTGGCCTCGTGATAACTGCAATGGGAATGACCTTTTGGATATTTGGGAAAGGGAGAGAAAGGTGGAGGTTGCGGCGGCCTTATTTTTTTTTTTATTATGTTTTACGATGACGCCGAATGATAAGATGTTTTTAGAAAAGAAAAAAAAGTTTCACTTCATGTCTAAAAGCTTGTTGTATTCGTGCGTGAGTTCATGCGTACGCACGTACGCGTGCGCGTGTTTGAATTAGGAAAATTATCAACATAAAACAACAGCATATTTATTAGTATTGTTAATTTTTTTTTTTTTTTTTAGTTTCGACAACAACAACAACAACCGCAACACAACAACAATGCCTTTGATTTTATTTGTATTGAATTAATTCTTATCATTTAATTTGATAGTGATTTGATTTGTTTGAAAACTTTCGCGAAACTTTACACGTCGATTACAAAACCCCGATATTTTCATCATTTTCTAATCGATTTCTCAAAGCTCTTGAAAAAAAAAAAATTTGAAGAAGAAAACATTATTAATCCGATGATGATTTTATAAAGAATTTTTTTTTTTTTTCAAAGTTTCTTTCAATGAATACTATTTTTTCTTTTTTTTTTTTTTTTTTTTTTTTCAAGCTGCAATCATGTGCACGTGTTTTATATATACGAAGCGTTTGTTTTCAGCTGTTCACTTATATTTCTCTTTTGAAACGTTACATAATGAGAAGACCGAACGGGGGGAATCAAAATGTAGGAAAATACGCAATACTTAACTTACGAATTTAAATAAAAATATTTTTTTTTTTTTATATTTATTTTGTTCCGTGCATGTGCATGCACGCATTGTCTATCTATATACATCATGTGTCTCGAAATGAAGGCTCTCTCAATGGCAAGCTCAGCGTAGACAATCCTCAAAATATACACTCTCTCTTTCTCTTTCTCTTTTTTTTCTCTCCTTACTGAATTTTTACTTCCTAATAATAAACCCACATAAATTGAGAATTGTCAAGTTTGGCTCATGGAACTCCAACACACACACACACACACACACACACGCACAGATGTTTTCTTCTTCAAAGAGGAAACAACATTGTAGAAAGTATTCTATATAAAGTTGACAGTATAACATGTGGTCGGTCATTTCCCGTTATAAGAAAAAGATTTATGCCTTTTATTACTGTCACCGCCCGCCGCCGCCTCCTCACAAAAATCTATAAACTCGAACCTTTTTATTATTATTATTATCATCATCATTTCATTGTAAATCAATATTTGTAAATGTTTTGTCACGTTCAAAAAAAACATCGATATCGATGGAATGTTTAAGATTTTTTTTTTTTTTTTTTTTCATAGTAAATCGAATAAAGGAAATCATAAAAAAAAAAAAAAAAATTTTTTTTTTTAATGACTATGTCGCAAGTCTTTAAAAAAAAAATGTCGAAAGCAAATAGAAACGTGAAAATAATAATAATAATAATAATAATAAAAGCAAACAGTCAAATTAAGTGCAAACGGTTAAAAAAAAAAAGTACCGGGTAAAAAAAGAAAAAAAAAAGAAAAATAATTCGACCTTGAAAGAAATTGCTTATGTGTGATTAGGCTTTTAATGTCGTTCTCTTTTTAACACCTGCCTAACAGGTAGGCCCCATTGAAATTTACTGTTTTTATAAAAAAAATTTTTTTTTTTTTTCCAACATTGACACCATTGATTATTATTATTATTATTATTTAACGACGCAAAGTTTTTCTTCCACGACGACGACGACAATAATAATAATAAAATAAAAATTTATAATAATAGAGATTCGAGGTTTGCCAAACCGAAATTTTATGAACACACGCAAAAATTGTTGTTAACACGAATAGAATTTAACGTTTTTTTTTTTTTTTATTGCTTCAGATGTCACCTGTCCATTTGGAGAAGATCCAGGAAACGGATAGCCGGACAATATCGTGTTAAAAACAAAAAAAAAATTTACGCGACGATTCAAAATGGTGGTCGAGAGAAATCAAAGGAGGAAGAGGAGGAGGTGGAAACGTCTTTCATTGAAATTATAATGGTGGCAAAAAAAAAATGAAAACCAGCAGTCAAAGATGGGGAACAAAGGAAAACGCGATGGAAACTCAAGAAAATTGCAATAAAGATTTAAAAAAAGAAAAACTTGGTGTTGATCGTGGCACCACCGACAGGAAAAATCGTTTTTTTTTTTTTTTTTTTTTGCTAAATCGTCGCTTTTAAGAAACAAATAAAAAAAAAAAAAAAATTGCACTCATTCACACGAACACATGCAAAAACACTGAGAAAATTTAACCGTAGCAAAAATTGTAACTTTTTTTTTTTTTTTTGTTTGTTTGATTGTTTGTTTATAATGTATAGTTGTACAAATTATTAAAAAAAAATAAAAATTAATATAAATTTAGAATTTATTTATGTTTTATTATTATTATTTTTTTCCGAATAACGACCTTATTTTTTTTTTTAATAAAATTCTAAAATAATAATGATAATGAAAGCAAAAAGTTTTTGGTTAATGATAATTTTAACGTGTTTAAAAAAAAAAATTTCTTTTAATATTGTTAAATTTTTTGTTGAGAGTACATGCAAAGTAAATAAGTCCAAAGTTCTTTCGTTCGTTGTTGTTGTTGTTTGTACTTTGAAACGAAACAAACACAAACACAAAACAAATTTTTTTTTTTCCTTTTTCTATTTATTATTAATCATCGATATTCCACACACGCACTCACAGACACACATATTTTCAATAGATTTTTTTGTCGTAACGATGATAATAGCCGCCATTAAAAAAAAAAAATCAAATTTAATCGAAGGTCGTCTAAAATTATTATTATTATTTTGTGATAATGAAGGTTTTTTTTTTTTAAATTTATTTTAAAACGTCACGTGATAAGGGGAGGAAGAAAAGAAAATCGTTACCCTTAAGTTCCGGAACGAATTTTCAAAATTTTCGCCATTTAAACAAGAGAAAGAGAGAGACAGAAAAAAAAAACAATGATTTTATTTATAAATAACAATTAAAAATGGCTTTCGACGAATAAAAAATAATTTTAAAAAATTTTTTGTAAATTAAAAAAAAATTAAAAAAATTTAAAAAAATTTAAAAAAAAAAAGTAAAAAGAGGAAAAAAAAGAAGAAAAAAAAAAAATGTGCGATAAAATATGTTTTAATCCGTGTAACGATAAGGAAATCAATTATCAAAAATTGGTGGATCCATTTCCTGTCGGTCAATATGATATATTTATGAGTGATGCGATACAAAGGGATTATTTGAAAACTCAAAAGCTTAAATATCGAGAAGTTAATAAATGTTGTGGGCCGATGATATCAATTTGTCCACCGCCGCCGATACAATGTTGTATTCCAATGCAAATAAAAAAAGATCCTCCTCTACTTCCGCCATCACTTCCTTCTTCTTCTTCTTCTCCTTGTGAACCGGAAATGAATCTCTACGTTCATCTCGTACTTCCCAAACAAGAATAACAAAATCCTCTTTTTTTTTTTTTTTAATAATTGATTTCATTTATTAATAAATAAAATGATAATGATAATAAAAAATCGTTAAATATAATTTATTTGAAAAAAAAAAAAAAAAAGTTTTTTACGTCATCGTCACGTAAAAAAAATTTTTTCTCCCTTATTTATTTATTTAAAAATTAATTTATCGATATCTATCGTTAATAGTTATGTTAATCGATTTATTAATAATAATAATAACGGGGGAAAAAAATCCTTCCCCACTTTTTCTATATGTAAAAAAAAAAAAGTTTTATTGAGCCTTAGATAAAATTGAAATTTTGATTATTTTAATATTATTATTATTATTATTGTAGTAGAAATTTGCAGTATTGCCAATATAATTTTTTTAAAAATATAAATAACAAAAAAAAAAAATTCGTCTGCTATAATATTTCGTATCAAAATAAAAAAAAAAAAAATTAATTAAAAAAAATAGAAAAAATTAAATGAAATAATTATAAAAAAAAAAACCTTAAAAAAATTAAAAATGAATTCTGATCCGAAAAAACCTTGTGAAAAACAACGCAAAATGATTCCGTTAATTTTTTACCTGGATAGCGATGATAAAAATGACAATAATGACAATAATAATAATAATAATAATAATAACTGTAACGTAAACGAAACGTTTGATAGAAACCAACGAGAACAAAATTGTAATAAAAATTGCATGTATTTCAAACCGAAAATAAATATTATTTTTGATTTTAATCCGCCAAAAAATTATTGCAGCGAAGATAGTGATGATGATGATAATAATAATAATACAAGAAATTGTTAATAATAATAATAATTTCGAATAAATTTTTTGTTTATGTAAAACCAAATAAAATTTTTTTTTTATTATTTTAAAACAAACAACAAATATGATACGGAAATTTTTTTTTTTAACCGTCGGGTATCGATATATCGATAAAATTTTCCAAAGAAAATATATATATCGATCATTAATAATAATAATAATAATAATAATAATAATAATAATAATAATAATAATAATAATAATAATAATAATAATAATTAAGGAAAAGAATATTCTAAAAGGTTAATGTCATTCATCAGAAAAAAAAAAAAAATTATTAATTATAAATAATATTTATCGATAAGTTTTTTTATTCTATGGACAAAAGTTTATATTTCGTCTGCTTTTTTTTTTATTTTTATTTACATATATTACCGTTAAAACATCACTCATAGATTTGTTAATTAATATTATTTTTATATAAAGTTTTTTTCAAATATTTGAAAAAAAAAAAAACATGAATCAAACAAATTCTATAATTAAATCGAAAACTTCATCAGTTTTACCATCGGAAAATGAAATGTCACTTCAAATGTCACCATTTAGTGATGAAAGATGGGATATCGATTATTTAGAAAATCAAAAAAGAAGAGAAATCCATAGGGAATTAGCTAAAAATTATAATAAAAAATTTAACGATAATAAAAAAAAAATCGAACCGGAAGAGGACGTTACGAACGAATATGGAAAAGAAACAAAATCACAAACGTCGTCGGAAACGTTAAAAAAAACGGAAAAAGTCGCAACGACAACAACAACAACAACAACAACGAACAATTCCGATCCGATAAATTTAAAACCGTTAGAAATAAACGTTGATAAAAATATTATAACGAAAACTCCATATAAATTGGGAAGAGAACCATTATTGAAACACGTACCGTTAAAAGATATCAAATTCGATTCTCCGAGACCCCCAAATTTATATCCGACGTTGAAATGCCCAGAAGCAAAACCTAAACCCGAAGGATTATATTATTTACCGCAAAATCCAAATTGGACGGGTTTAACGGACTCTTCACCCTATAAAATCCCTCCAAAACCTGAATTTCACACTTTTAAAGATATTTTACCGGAAAGGCCAAAAGCTCAACATTATGGAACGTTTGTTCCCTTTTGGAAATTTTAACCTTTTTTTCTTTTTTTTTTTCCTTTCCTTTTTTTTTTTTTTTTTTTTTTTTTTTAAACAAAATTTTTTTAAACAAAAAAAATTAATAAGTACATAAAAAATAAAAAAAATAAAAATAAAATTTTTTATTTAATTTTATTATAAATGAATTTATTCATATTCAAATCAATATAAATAATTGAGCCATGACGTCGATGGTTAAAAACATTTCACTTACTCTATGACTTTTTTTTAAAAAAAAAAAAAAAAAAAAGCTTTTCGAAAAGGCTGTGATTATTTGTAAACAAATAATTTTAAAATGATTCGTCGAAATCATATGTAAAATTTTTCTTTTTAAAAAAAAAAAAAACAATAAAAATAAATTTAAAAAAAAAATTTTTTTTTTTTTTTTTCGGATAAAAAATGTAAATTTTTTAATAATTACACTATAAAAATAATAATATAATAATAATAATATTATAAAAAATTTTTTAAAATGACAAGAGAAACGTTAAAAAATTTAAAATCCCAATTTTTGGATAACGATGAACAATTGGAAAATGAATTTGTTGATAATAAATTTGATGAACCTGTTATATTAAAAGTTGAATTACCACCGGCATTAAGAGCCAAAGTCATGCGTGCTTTAGAAATTAATAATAATAATAATAATAATAATAATAATAATAATAATGATTGTAATGATTGTAATGATTGTGATGATTGTAATGAATTTTATCAAAACGATAATTTAAATGAAAATTATTCAGAGGAATCAATGAAATTAGCGAAAATGGCTGCTTCTTCTTCTTCTTCTTCTTCACTATCATCAGTAAAAAATATTACAACGAATTACAAACCGAATTCACAAATATTTGACGTGAATATGGATAAAGAAAAACGTCTGATTGAATTACACAAATCCATTTTTATCGGAAATGAATATTTAATGGAAAAAACTCCGGATTTGATAAGCATACACGAAGATTGTACTCAAATGCAAGATTTGTTGGAAAAAATTAATTTAATGTTACACGTCGCCATTTGCAAAACGAAATTATCGATACCCCCCACGTTTCTTAGCAAAAGTAATAATGCGGATAATGTGAAACCGTGCAAAAATGAAAATTGTCCTCTCACCTGGGATTTGAACGGTTTCGTTACCGACACCGGAGAAATTAAAAATTTTAAAAATTACATGACGGAAATAACAAAAAAAACATTCGGAGACGACGACGGCGACGACGACGACAACGACAAAAATGACGATGACGCGGTCGTTTCGTTTGACTCAATGAAAAAAATATCGGATGATGAAAATTTTATACCGAGCACGACGCAAGAAGATGAAAATGAGGAAATATGTACGTGTCCGCACATTCACAGAGACGAAAAATTAAAAAAAATTAAAGAAAAATTAAAAAAAAAAGATTCCGTGGAAAAGAAAATATCGGAGAAAATGTTGATAAGTAAAGGGACGTCAATGGAAAAATTTGATTTCGTACGTGAAAAAAAATCGATCGATGATAAAAACGTCGAGAAAACTCTTCGGCCCCCAATTTCACAAAATTTAAAATTAAAAAAAGGCAACGTTGTCAGAATAAAAAAATTAAAAATTGCCATACCCAACGTTGATAAAAATAAAAGGATTAAAAAAAAAATTGAAACATTAATAAGGGAAAATGAATATCACTATCATTGTTTTAATAATGCCGACGTGAAAACCGTCAATAAAAAATCAATAATACCGGATAATAATAATAATAATAATAATAATAATAACTTGAGAGAAAAATTTGAAAAATTTAAAAATTTCAAATTGAAAAATAAAATTCAACTTTTAAACGATTCCGAACGATTAGCCGCCGTTAAAAATTTACAAACTTTCTCGGAAATGTTTTCAAAACTTACAAATGTGGAAAAAATTTCAACCGGAAATGAAAAAACAACACCGGAAGAATCATTTCATTTATCCAAATCCAAACTTATATCATTTTTAAACAACGAAGAAGAAATACAAAAGCAAAAAAAAATTATTTTACGTGCCATCATGCAAAATGTACAAAAATGGATCAAATTAAAATCTTGAAAATATTATACGTACGCGCGCGCGCTCTCGATTTCCAAAGTCATAGAGTAAATAATCAAAATAATAAAACAATTTTTTAAAAAAACACCGAGTGTAATAATTATTTAATTTTACAAAAAAAAATCAAATAAAATAAAGACATTATAATTTATAATCGTTTAATTTAAATCATTCAAACGCTCTCTCAAATTTATCCATTTTAAAATAATCAAAAACCGTTATAACAAACACGCAATAATTATATTTAAAAAAAATTAAGGAGGCATCGTTTAAAATTTATTAATTTTAATAAGGAGGCATTAAAAAAAAAAAAAAAAAAATTATTTTTTCCGACGCATCGAAAAAGAAAAACAAAAAAAAAAACCAAAATAAATAAAAAAAGAAACGTTATCATTATTTAAAAAAAAAAAAAAAAAAAAAAAAAAAGATTTTGTAATATCAAAATTAAAAATATTAATGAATTCATATAAATAATAATAATAATAATGAAAAAAAACAATCCGAATCAATCGGGTCAAAAAAAAAATAATCAAAATCAATCGGGGCAAAAAAAAAATAATCAAAATCAATCCGATCAAAAAAACAAAAATAAAAAAAGGAAAAAGAAAATTTGCTGTAAAGGAGTGTATTATTTCAAAGAAGTTTGCCCTCCGGATTATTTGAACGTGCCCTCGGTAAGAGATTGGCAAATGTCACCATTTTCAAACGAGAGATACGATTTAGATGAAATACAAAAAGCCGAAAGAAAAGGAGTCAAAGGTAAACAAGAATTGGAAGAATTGAAAAAAAAATACGGTTTGATACCCGCGACGGAGCCTTGTACGAAACCTAATCCGCCTGAAGACGTGCAAAATGAAAACCCGGATAAAATGAGAAAAAGATGCACGAGCGAATATCAATATCAACCCTACGGTCCTCCCCTTTTATCAACCCTTTCGTACAACCGTCCAGATTTAAATCAGCCAAGATTATATAATTATCTCGGTCCTTCTTATTTTGTGGGACCGGGAGTGAAGACTCCCATACCTCGAATGTGTTCGATAATACCATGCAGTGGATTAGAATACAGGACGAGAATTCTATCGGATATTTACGTACCTTACGGTCCGTACGAAGAAGTCAGATTAACCCAAGATCAATACGTACCATTGGGACCATCACCATACAGATTGTAACTTTGAAATAATAATAATAATAATACTGACAAATGATATTTTTTTTTTTCAATTTGAACTTAAAAATTTTCTAGTAAAAAAATAAAAAGTAAAATTTTTACACGTTTATTTTCCTCCATTTTGTTTTTTTTTTTTTTTTTAAATTATAGGTTTTAGGAAAAAGCACTTTATTCGCACGCAATTTGCACTTAAGTTGATTTCGTGCAAAAATTGACAAGACTTTTTTTTTTTTTTTTTTGTTCTTTAAGATACTTGTTATCGTTATCAAAAATATTTTGTTGATAAACCGGGTGCACACCTGACTGACACACCTGCGTCCTAAAAAAAAAAAAAAAAAAAAGTAATTTTGCAATACGATTGTGTCAGAAGGTCACGTTGAGGCCATTTAACGAATATGCAAAACCGAGAGAGAGAATACAAAATAATATTTTTATTTATTATTTTCTACTGCTGCTACTGCTACTACTACTACTACTACTGCCACTACCACATTTACTAGGACGTATAAGAAAAAGAAAAATTCGGAGCCTTAATAAAAAGTTCGTGACAAAAGATAAAATATACTAAAAGTCAAAACAATTTCAAAGGTCAAGTAGATGAACGTCGAAAATAAGATCAATCTAACGAGAGAAAAAATTTTTTTTTTTTTAAAGTCAACCGTTGAAAATTTTAAAAAAAAAAAAAAAAAACAAGATTGACAAACTCAATGTTTTGTTGACAAAAATGTTTTTTTTTTTGTAAATGAAATTGTGTCACGACGAGTGACAAGTAACATTTTCACACTTTAACGAACCAAAAAAAAAAAAGTCACCCACACAAATCATATAAAAAAATTTTAATAATAATTATTATTATTATAAATATATGATCGTTACGTGTCGTCATCAAAACGGACGGTCAGACTATTTTTTTTTTCTTTTAAAATCCAATAAATAATAATAATAATAATAATAATAAAATCAAAAGCGTGAAACAAAAAAAAAAAAAAAGTGACTCAAAATCCACGAGATGAAATCCAAACGTTTATTAAAAAAATTTTTTTTATTTTTAAGTAAAAATTGTTTTATTTTCATCATTAGTCACGCCAATTTATATTTTATATTATTATTATTATCATTATCATTATTATTATTATTATTATTTTTTTTTTTTTTGTGTCGTTTTTAACGATCAAATAAAAAGTAAAATTAATTCAATATTCACAAAGTGTGAAATGTTTTTTTTTACTTGATTATCGTTTTTAAAAAAAAAAATTTTTTTTTTTCTCGGGTTTTCCTCGGTTGGTCGCTACGAAATAATAATAATAATAATAATAATAATAATAATAATAATAATAATAATAATAATAATGCGAGACGTCACGAAAATATTTTCGCGATTTTATAAAACGCGAATGTGCGATATATAAACCGTTTCTGGCACAAATAATTTGACATTCCTTTTTTTTTTTTTTTTTTCGGTTGGACAAACTGAATAACGGATAAAAAAGAAGGAGGAAGAAGAGGAAATAAAGATTCTGCCGCCATTTTCTTTTTATTTTTTTCATCCGTGACTCATTTCATTGTATAATATCTGATTTTTAATAATAATAATAATAATAAAAAATATAAGAAAAAATTCTCAGCTGTTCTTTTGTGTCTATCAATAATAAACATTTATTTTATTTTTTATTAATTGTTTTTTTTAAAGCGAAGAGACAAACGCGTAAGACACGTTTGAGCGTTTGTTGTTGTTGTTGTTGTTTTAACCTGAAAACAAACCTGAATTCCAACCGATATAAATCATGTTTTAATATGGAAAAAATTTTTTTAAAAATCGTCTGTTTCGCGGTTAAAAACTTTTTTTTGACGTGGATATAAATTATTTATTTACTCTATGAATTTTCAATTTTGTCGCCAAAGTGAAAAAACAAAACAAACAAAACAATGGAATTTTTTTTTAATAAATAAATAATAATGAATTAAAAAAAAAAAATTAACCAAAAGAAAAAAATGAAAATTTAATAAAAAGGAGGGGGACAAAAAAGCGGGGGGATAAAAAATGTGTGAAAAACAAGAAAAAAATTATCAAAAACTTGTGGATCCACCTTATGTACCTTATGGAACCATACTCGGAGATCCACCGGATGATGAAAATGATGAAAAAAATAAAAAAGAAAAAACTGATTGCATTCAAATATTGATATGTGCTCAACCGAAAGAAAAATCAAATAATGATAATAAACAAGATGAAACGAATAAAAAAAAAAATTGTTCTAATAAATAATAATAATAATAATAATAATAAAAATGATGATGATAATAATAATAATAATAATTGATTGATTTTTTTTGTCTCTTTCTATTTTGTAATATTTTAATATTATTATTATGAACTGATTCTTTTCATATGACAAAAAATTTATTTTCTTAATCATAATCATCATCGTCATCATCATCGTCATCATCATTATCATTATTATCATTATTATTATTATTATTATTATTCATTGATTGATAGTAAAACATTAGGCGTAGGTGAATAAGGAAAAATTTTTTTTTTTTTTTTTTTTTTAGTTTATCTTATCGATGATTAATTTTCTAAGAAAACGTTTGTTGTTGTTTGTAACTGTTTGTTTTAAGTTTAAAGTAGTACATTTCAAGTGCAAAAAAATATTTACACGAATAAAAAATTTAATAAAAAACAATAACAAACAACAAATATTATTAGTTTTTTTAATGTGAAAAATATGTTTTTAAGTTCCGCGACAAAACGCCCAAATAAATTAATAATAATAATAATAATAAATATTTTTTTATGCCTTATCAATGTAGTTAAAGCGCATACCCATAGAGTAATAAATATTCTTACGTCATTTTTTCCAAATCAAATGAAAAATTATTATTATTATCGAGAGGTTTAAATGATTTGGGAAAAAAAATTCTCAGGCATCCAAAAAAAAAAAAAAAAAAAAAAAAAATTTTTTTGTTTTTATACTTAAAGAATATTCTAGACCTTTTTTTTTTTAAAATGCATATAAAATTCATTCGGTAAAATGATTTTAATCTGTCCAACCCTTCCTGTTTTTTCCTTAAAACAATAATAATAATAATAATATCCAATTATATTTAAGGAGCCTTTCAACAATATAGTTCCTCATTATTTTTTTATACGCTATTAACTTTTAGAAAAAATCCATTTGGTTTATTTATTTATTTATTTTTTTAAATTCTCTCAATTATTATTATTATTATTATTCACGAGAATGTATACATTTATGTTTTTCATTCACTTTTTTTTTTTTTTTTACGAGGTATTTTTTGCATTTCATTCAATCATTCATAATTTTTTTTGCATTAAAAGATGTAAAAAACCAGAAAAAATATTTATAAATATAAACTAAATCGTATAATAATAATAATAATAATAGAATAATACCAAGTAGAGCGTGAACCCACACATCCGTACGACCCCGCCTTTTTTTTTTGTGATGAACAAAAAAACCTTTTCATTTTAGTTCAGAATCCACTTGAACAAGTAGTTTTTTTTAGTTCTGGATTCCATCATTTATGCATAAACAATCTGGTTTTACTCTTTTTACGTCCGGAGAATTATGTGGAGATCACCATTCCTACAAAATTGGATCGTTAACAACAACAACAACAACAACAAATGTGAGCATTTTTCCTTATTTCAAATCCAAACGTACGAAAAAAACAAAAAATCAATTTAAAAACGAAATGCGGCAACGTCGCATAATAAAAAACCGCCAAAATTTAAAAAAAAAAAATTTTTTTTCAATGAAATTTCATCATAACCATCATCGAACGCCTTAAAAACAAACGTTTTATCATTATTATTATTATTATCGTCATGTCGAAACGAAAAACCTTAAAATAATAATAATAATAATAATAATAATAATAATGATAATGATAATGATAATAATGATAATAATCAAAAAAAAAAAAAAAATAAGAATGAAAATTCTCATTCACAAAAGTGTGACGCGGCCGAATGATTGCAAGCAAGCGCATCCAACCTAAACTTCCGGTCATTATCTTTGGCTTAATGCCTGCATTATAATTGCCAAACGTATATAAATTCACGTACCTGTATAGGCTCGACGGCCTAAATCTTTTTTTTTTTTTTTCCCCATTCAATACGTGATCATCATTATTATTATTATTATATGAAAACGCGAATATATTATTAACGATTAATTCTTTTTTATCCTAGAAAAATTTTTATTAAATAAAATTCCCTGAATTTTTTTTTTTTTTTTCCATTATTCATTTCAAATATTATTATTATTATTATTATTTATTTTTTACGCGTTTATTGCGTGTAATTTAACACGTAGAAACTCAGGATGCGGTTTGCGGTGCCTGGAATTAGGCTCGAAAACGTTTTTTTTTTTTTCTGTGGTAATTGAACCTGGATTTTAAAACGAAAAAAAAAAAAAAAAAACATTATCTCAACACACACACACACGATTATGTTTTTTATGTTTTTAGGGTAAATTTATTTTGTTTTTGTTTTCAAAAAAATAAATTTTATAAATTTAAATTTTTTTTTTTTACCTTTTTCCGACCGAATTTGAATTTACATTTAAAAAAAAAAAAAACAAAATTTTTCTTGAGTTTTCAACTCATGAATTATTTACATAAAATTTTACCTTAAATTTAAAATTCAAATAATAATAATAATGATAATATTTCATTTAAAATAACATATTATTATTAATAGTTTTTATTTTTTGTATGTATAGAAAAACAGAAAAAAAAATGTTAAAAAAATTTTTTTTTTTTTTATGAATAAATTTTAATATTATTATTATTATTATTATTATTATTATTATTATTATTATTATTATTATTGACACATTAAAATTTTTCCCTATTAATTTTTTAATAAATAATTTTTTATCGATTCATTTTTTTTTTTAATTTTAATTAATTAATGTCGGGATTTTTTTTTTTTTAATTGTATTAGAAATCGTGACATATTCATCATTATTA